TTGACAGTCCAGTGTGTTGGGCAAACCCAGAAAATGGAAGGAAGGAAGGAAGGATTTATTTATTTATTTATTTTACTTATAAGACATATATGGCTGCCTATCTTATACAATACTCATGGGGGGCTCACAACAAAATCAACAACACAACAACATAAATGCATTTCATGAAGCAACTATGTTAAGCACATGTTGTGAACGTAGGCAATAGGAAGTCATTTGGGTCCATATTTCTATAAGTCTCCACATTGTTTGTCCTGGATGGACATCTCATTCTCGGGCTATGCTATGCTGCATTTGAGTGGTGATTCTGGTGGTTATGTTTGAATGGTTCCCATCATCCCCATCACATGGATTTTAGCTGCCATGGGAGTTTGTGGTCCATTTACACTTGTTGAGGCTCCCGTGGTCAAACTACACAAATCCCTAAGTGAACAGAAGCCAGCACAATTTTTACAGGGGGCAAAGTGAAGCACATCTTTCAGCAGATTTAAATGCATATTGTAGACATTATTTATGTGTCGTTATTTACTTTATTCAATTTTTAAAAAAAATCCAATTGAACGTTAGAGAAACCTTAATAAGAACAGTAGGTATAGTTGGACAGTGGAATCAGTTATGTTGGAAGTGGGGGGCTCCCCTTTACTAAATATCTCAAAGCAGAGGCTGAATATCAATTCCTACAGTGAGCAGAGAAGTTACTTCATAGCTTCAATGGCCCCCTTCTTCCCTTATGATTCTAAGCTTTCAAGGAACCTAAAATCTGAATTTAAGAAACTCTCACAATCAGCTGGGGAGGGGTTAATTATTGAGAACAAGAACTGAGCCTCCCTTACTTTTGTTAGTATCATGAGAAAGAAGATGGAAAAAATATTAACAATTGCATTTCCATCCAGAAGGGAACAATAGCCTTCATGCAAACATTAACTACTGTTACCCATCCTTCAATAGCTCAAGAAGGCACATCTTGACCTGCTGAATTTTTAAAAGTATGCACATTAATTTAAATTGTTTGGTTAAAACAAAAGACAAATTAGTAATCCAGTAAAGAACTTGTAATGCACTTGAATTAATTGGCAACACTTGAAGAAATGTTTGTACAACAGCCAAATTAAGTGGCTTCTTGTAATAGTATGATCTAAAGGATAATAACTTTGTTTTCTCGGAGGCTGGATTGCCTGCATCAAATTTTGGTAGTTTGACATGAGAAGGAGGTTGGGATGGGGTTGACTGACAGTGGTGGAGGGAAGGGAGGAACTTTTCATTGGTTCAAAAATCAGGTTTCAATTCAATTCCATTCAATGTATTTATAGTCATGGACTGGTAAATATTGATACAGACAAATACAAAAAAGAATAAGATCGTGCGAATATGATTTAAATAAACCAAAGAGAACAAGTTGTCTTATGTTAAAAGACACCAATCTGTGACTACCTTATTTGTAATACCTGAACATGAATCCAGTGTTTGGAAAGTTTTCTAAACTGGGAGAGATCAAATCTGCCTCCAGACGTTGTAAGGACGACCATATGATAAGCCATCAGTAATGTCTTTGCACCTCAGGAACAGTGACATTCTGTACTTTCCTTCCATTATTGTGGAAAATCGGGCATCACCATGAGCAACTATAAATGCCCTACAATATTTAGCTACTGGCATGGAAAATGACAAGAATGGGCTGGTCTAGTGGAACTAGAGACGGTCAGTTTCTAATATTTTGTGAGGCTGCCTTCAACTTCCTCTGCAGGGACAAATACACTTCTAATACAAGTACCTTTCAAGGGGAGAGTCTCCCTACACCGCCCCCCGCCCAACTTTTGGCAGAAGAGCTGCAGAAAGAAAGAAAACCCTCTCCTATGAATTCATTGGGTCCTCCTGCCCTAACAATTCATGGATTAACAGTCCAGTAGAAAGCTGGCGTTCAGTTTCCAGATCCTGGTGGGTTACCAGCTCCCTTTTGGGTAGGGGGTAGGATTTCTAATCTCCAACCCATCTCTTTTTTTCTGTTAGGGTTGTGCTGTTTGGGATTGCTGCACCTTTTCTCAGGCTCGTGCAACAGGGCCAGCCTGGGAAAATCTCTGTTTAAGACTCGTGCAGGAGATGTGTTTAAAACTTCCTGCACCTTTTTCCTTTGGACTTCGAAGTGCTTCAGAATCTTCCTTTCTTTAGTCCTCCTTGAGGTGTGTAACTAGGAGGAGGAGATTAGTCTCACTATTTTGGCTTCCTGAGTGGCAGTGATGGGTGAATCTGTCACCTTGGGCATCTCATTCATCCGTTTGGTTCACTACATCCCTATACTAGTTGATGTGGGTTTTTTTCCAGTTTACACTTACATTTGGGTCTGTATTTGTACCCGTTTCTTCACTCACACTGTGCTGGCCTATGACCATAATCAAGATTTGATTTGATTTGAGCTTCACCCGCGCACATTTTTTGTTGCGACTTTGCCTTATGTTTGCTGCTGTTGTGACTACTGCCCCTAATCTCATTTTTGTCAATTATTTCTGGCAGTACAGTATATGCATTTTTTGCAGACTTTCTAATATACCTGCTTTTAAACTTGGCCAGCTGCACAGCAAAACTCAGAGAAGTGACTTTCAAAGGAGAGTTGAATGTTGGTTTGTATATTGGTTCAAAAACACAACATGAGCAGCTTGTATTGCAGTTCTTCCTTCCTCCCCCCCCTCCCCATTCCTCATAGAGATAGTTTCATCCAGTGACTTCCACCCAGAGTTACTGGTTTGAGATGGGTGGATATATAAATCAAATCAATCAATCAATCAATCAAAAGTTTCATGTAGATGAATCCACGTGCCTCTAAAGAAAAACTACTGAGTTTTTCTGAATGGATTGTTGTTTTGTTTGTATGGAAAGAAAGAAAGAAAAAAAAGCACAGTGGAGACATGACAGTTCCAAGTGGAATATATTATCATCTGGATCTGCTATAAAATCCATGAATGAGATAAAGTGGTTGCGTTTGGCAGCGTCTTAAGGCAAAGCATGGAATGATGGTCTTTAAGTTTCAGGAAGGAAGATTCTAGTTAAGTATGAGGAAAAACTTCCTAATAAGAGTAATTTGGCAGTAGACATGATAATTAGGGTTATGTTCCTGGCTGGGTTCAAGGAGAGTCTGGTAGCTCAATCATGGATGCTTGAATTTGAGCCAAGAGTTGGATTTGATGGTCTCAGTGCCCCCACCCAGATCAATGATTCTATGTGGCTTTTGAATCTCTTTTTGCCAGTCCCTGAAGCACCTTGAAATTGAATACAAATCCCCTCCATGTTCCTGGAAGAAAAAATTAAAAATGCACACAGAGGACTTCCTTAATCTTCTTCCAACCCCCTCCCCCCAATAATTACTGTAGCAGTGCTATTCAGCCTGGGAAAATTATACCTGAGTCGTTGAACTCCCAGTAGGAAGACCGCTCACCTTAATCCAGCCAACAGAGGGAAGCGCTCCTCTCAGCATGTCCACCCACCTTCTAAACGCCAAATCCCATTTCTTCCTGCTTGGAATTAAAATGAGAGGCACGCTCTCTCTTGCACCCCAAAAGATGTTTATTTTTAGGGACAGAAAGAGTAACAATTTCTTCTGCTTTCAGAGAAGGGAACCTGCCCACTCTGCTGAGGTGTCATCGTCCTGGACCCCTTCGATAGGCAAGCAAGGTCAGGTGGCAGTTTATTCAAAAAAAATGAACCATGACGATGCTCTATTTGCATGGAAGCAGTTAAATGAATCTTCAGGCTAGAGGGATACTACATTAAGTCTGTACAGGAAAAGTTCACCCTGTATTGATAGAATCGGCCTAGAAGCCATGAATTGGGAGGAAGCACATCTCATTGTGCCTTTGCTGAAAGCACAGAGGAAGGGGTCATATCTCTGGCAGGTATTGAGGTGGCTGATTCACATAGCCCTCTAAATCTTTTCCAGGGTCTTTTGATACATGGGAAATTTCAGCACATGCAACCTCTCCACTGTCATTATCTGCTTATATAAGAGACTCTCTGGAAGCTGCCAAAACCTAGATTAATTTAGACTATAAAGCAGCAAAATGGAAACTTGTCTTCAACCAAATCAGATTAGCCCCAAATTTTCCACTCTGCCTGGCAGCAATTCATGAAGTTTCAGACATACAGTACAATGACTGGGTTCACACCTTAAGCTTGAACCATGGTTGTTTTGTGCATGGTTTGTTGAATACATCATGATTGACTGGGTTCATGCTTTACAAGAGGCTATAAATCATGGCTTGTACACCACGGTGGTTGGGTTCATCCAACACGTGAAATCAGGGACGCACCATCTGAGTTCCCAGATGATTGAAATGGATGCCACAATGGGAGGATGGCCTATAGACTGAAAAATACCTACACATGAACCCCATGTTGAAACCAAACCAGCTACATGGTGATTTAGTGCCCCATGAGAATCCAGCCAGTATTTTCCAAGCCATCACGTTACTCTTTCAGATGGCTCACAAGGAAAGCATAAGCACTGTACAAAGATTCAGTTAAAAAGGAAGGGGGTCCTTAAATGTCAAATTGCATTTAAGGTGGAAGTTCCAGGTCTGAAAAGATTGATCATTGCTATGCTGTCTGGCCTGCCTAACTAACTAGGTTTGAACCTGGCTTCTTTGGCACTCTCTCCAGAGCTGTCAGCTTGTTTTGAAAAGTGGTGCTTCAGGCTTTCACATTTTAATGTATTTCTCAGGATACCATAATTCTTTCACTGTATGTTAACGGGTGTATGGTGTAGCCTGGCATTGAGGAAATAGAGAGATAGCTAAATTATTGTATTAATGTTGTTGTCTGGATAATCCCTCAACATGCATACTGAGAAGAGGACGCCCAGCAGGGCCCCTGGAAGTGGAGGACACAGGTTGACCAAGTCTCTCTGCAAAATCTACCTGGGCAATCGATTCCATGGTTGCAAAGCTAGTGGGGGGTGGTAGTGGATGAAGACATGCAAATCCCTGAGAGACTTGGGTCACTCACAGCATTAGTTACCAAAAGACTGGGCTCCAGCTATTCAGATAACATAAATATGGATTATACTGATAGCTGTGGTATACAGAAAGTGCTAGGGTAGCCCTAGAGAAATTGTTTTCTCTGAAGACTGGGAGAGGCGAGTTCTTCTCATGTCCTCCAAGTTCAGAGGCCAGTTGCTTCCTCTTGGTCTTATATCTTCTGTTCTGGAACCAGATCTTCACTTGGGTTTCGGTGAGCTTCAGGTTCTTGGCAAGGTGGGCTCGTTCAGGAGCAGAGAGGTATTTCTGGTGACTGAACTTCCTTTCAAGCTCAATGACCTGGGTGTGAGAAAAGGCTGCCCGTGAACGCTTCAGCTGTTTCGGGGCTCTCAGGAAGGACTTGGCAGAGGGCTCACCGTTTGGCTGACAGACTTCTGCAGGTGGATCTGGTGGGCAGGAAAAATATTGATACAACTTCAGCCACTGCACTTCAAAAGAGGGCAGACAATTTCCCACGACATCAGTCAAGAGGAAAAGATGAAATAACCACATGAAGACAGGATTTGCCCCTTGCACACCATACCATAATACTGTTGATTTAATTCAGCATGTTGGGCAACCCATTCAAAGGGGTTTTATTGAGTAAACCATGGCTAAGCTATGGCCTAGTGCAAAATGTAAAGCCAGCTAGCCACACTAAGCCATGAATGAACACAATTGTTTGGTTCACATAGCAAGCTGTCATAAACCATCGTTACCAAACCATAATGGCGGACGTCACACCTTGTACCAAGCCAAAATTAAATAAACCATATGACAGCCTTGTGCAATTTGTGAAGCTAACCACTCCCTTTGTATTGGGAATATCAGAAACCCTCTCTTTGGAAATGCCCTAAAGATAGTCTGAGTGGAGACACTCTCTTCTGCTCTTTTTCAAAACACAAGCCTGCGCTGGATATCAAAGAAGCTCCATTAGATCTCGGTCTCCCTGGTCCTGCAATCCAATGCACCTTTCCCATTGGGCTAGTCTGGGAGTCAACTTAAGTGTAAGCATTCAAAATAATCAGCTGCACTTTTAGGCTCGAGTAACACGGGTCACTTGCACACCGGCTTAGGCTTACATTCCAACAGGAAGATCTTTCTGGGGCAATTCCAACTCTCAGATTTAGAAGCGTCTCATTGCTAAGCTTTGCCCAGGGGAGTGGGGTGCGGGGGGACACTTCATTTATATACTGTTTATCTCATTCAGAGTAATAGTGCAGTAGAAGGACATGGAGTCAAAACGGAGACAAATTGCTATGTGGATATCATATATCCTTGTTCCTTTTTAGTCCATATTCATACATTAAAAACACCCCACAATCTAATATTCCTCAGACCTTCCATGGACATTAAACAGAAATAGGTACTGAGAAGAAGGAAGTTGATACTTGTATCTGGCTGAATAAAAGATAATAGATACAAGATAATAAGGAGGAACAGAGCTGATATAATCTACTGGCTTATATATTCCAGTGCAATGCTATTTATTCCCAAGCATGGCTTGTACAATGAAAAATGTATATTTGTTGCATCTTTAGTGCAGATCTCACCAGAATCGCTCTCTATGGACCGAACGTCAACGTTCGCACAACATGCTTACTCGGGTCAACTGAAGAGTTCAGGCAATGACAACACACGAAAAGCAAAACTCGTTAGGTTTGTTTGGGGACTGTGTTACAATTAGGGCTTGGTTGTGTTTTTTTCTTGGCTTAGTGAGTTGTGCAAATTCACATTTTTCCTGTCTGATTAGTTACTAGTCCAATATATTGCATGAACTCAGAAAATAAGTCAGTTCTGTAACCAGGTTAAGAGAGGTTGTATAAGCGCTGCCAGTTCAGTGTTTCTCAACCTTAGCAACTTTAAGATGTGTGGACTTCAACTCCCAGAATTCCCCAGCCAGCCAGGCTGGCTGGGGGATTCTGGGGGTTTTAGTCCCCACATCTTTGAGTTGCCAAGGGTTAGAAAAACTGCAG